TTAGGCACTATGCTACCAGAGCTCCTATATGTATATATAGGGTATCAAAATATATCCTCAGTACAATTAAAAAAAAAAAAGTTGAAGAAAAAATGATGTAGAAAAATTAGGGGCTCTTGAATTTATCACAGGAAATCAGATGTTTGATGAATACGCTAACTAGAGAATGACTCCCTCCTGACAAGAGTCATCTCAACTTAGAGATATGCTGGGCTCCCAGCCTGCACAGGGGAAATTAATAAGTACCACTTGACAAGGGTGATAACCGTGGACCATAACAACACACCAAGACAGTCTGCTGAAACATCTGGGGCAAAAAGAAAATTTGACAGCCAATCAAAGAAGAAAGCACTGTACGTTCACTTGCCCTGGGCATGCCAAACATCTCATTTCTCACCTGTTCTGGAATTCTAAGAGCTCATTGTTGATTTTTTCAATGTTCACTTCTGACCAAAGGATGTCCTGATAACTGTTTACAGTCTCTATCACACTGTTGTACAGAGTGTATATTTTCTGTAGAAGATTTAGTTGCTTCCTTATTTCAAGAAGCTGAGGATACTGCGTGACTGGCAAACCAAAAAGCTCCTCTCCCCCAGTATAGGTGATGTACTTCCGATAGATGTTATCAAATTGATTCTAATAAAGACACAAGCGAAAATTCATCAAAATGATTTACACATGAGTGAACATGCAAATGAAAAGAGAAAATGGCAGACAAGCAAACCTCCATGACCACTGGGAACATAGAAAGGTGGATATTATCTGGCTGTAACTACTTACAAGAAGATCTGATGGTGCAGGGGTTAAAGCACTTGGCTGCTAACCAAAAGGTCAGCAGTGCAAACCCACCAGCTACTCCACTCTGCAGGAGAAGGATGAGGCAGCCTGCTCCATAACAATTTACAGCCTTAGAAACCCTATAGGGAAGTTCTACTCTGTCCTGCAGGGTTTCTATGAGTTGGAATCAACTCAATCGTGGTGGGTTTGTTTTCTGGTTTGGTAACTACTTACATAGACACCCCACTAATTGTAATAACAGGAGACCATATTTTTAAAATGTAAGTATTGTGCCATCTTCCACAGTAAGCATATATTTTTAAATATGTGTTTAAAATACATTAAGATTTTGGTTGCTTAGAAGGTTGCTGAAACTCAAAAGTTTACCTGGAACATGATAAGCCTATCACTGGCTTCCTGTGGTTTCAAGCCAACAGCCATAGGACCATTCTGGGGGAAAAAAAAAAAAAAAAGTAAACTAAAGGTAAAATACAAGAACTATTGGCATATAAATTGCATGAGTTCAAAGCATCTAAATATCAAAGTTTCCATGCATGTCACATACATGTTAGGAAAATTAGATTTTTATTTGTGAAAAATAAAGCCTCAGAAAGTGACTCATCTGGAAACATATTTCCAGTCTATAAAAGCTAAGTGAATGGCATAATTTCCATCAGTCAAAAAACTTTGAAAATTACAAAGATATATTACTCATTTCCAGGTGACAGATGAAAGAAGAGTCAATAGCTGTTCTATAAGAAGCATATGCAATGCTTGGTTTTGAACTAAAACACTAATGTTGTAACATATGGATCTCACCATTCAAATTCCTACTTGTAAAGTGACTTATAATCTTACCATCCAAATTAGGTTTTCCTGTTTTGGAACATCTTAAGTATGCAGATTTCTGTGCTTCTTTATCCAGGAAGTCCATGGATCCAATTTCCTAACTCCACAAGCTTTATAGACAACCATTAATCACTTGGCTGTTAACCAAAAGGTCCATGGTTCGAACCCCCCAGAAGCTCCTCGGGAGAGAGCCCTGGTGATCTGCTTCCTTACAGATGAGAGCCAAGAAACCTTATGGGGCAGTTTTACTATGTCACATGGGGTTTGTATGAATTAGAATGGACTCAGCAACATACGCTTTGTAGTTTTATGATCTGCTTGTTAATAGGCAGGAGCTCTGGTGGCATAGTGGGTAAGGCATTCGGATGTTAACTGGAAGGTCAGTGGTTCAAACCCCCAGCTTCTCTATGGGAGGAAGATTAGGCTATCTATTTTCATAAAGATTTACAGCCTTGGAAACCTAATGGGGGTTGCTATGAGTCAGAATCAACTCAATGCCAGTGGGTTTGGTTTTGGAGTTAAAAAGCACAAATTTTACCCTAGGCTCTACATAGTTCCCATCTGTAGCATATCTTAATAGATTTCAGTACACAGCATATTCCCATTAAAAGACTCTGCAGTAAAATACACACATACAACAAAAACCTGGACTCCACGGAGACAGGACCTGAACTGTCTTTTCCTCTGCTGTGTCTTCACCACCAAGGACAGTGCCTGGTGCCACTGACTCATAGCGACCCCCATTGGGTTTCTGAGGCAGTAAATTTTTACGGAAGTAGATTTGCCCCATCTCCCTTCCATGAAATGGCTGGTGGATTTAAATTGCCAACCTTCTGGTTAGCAATCTGAAAAAAGGGGCAAGAAGGTGGTATTTTCTAGCCTCCTCTAACTCCACAAGAGGAAAACAAAATCACTATCAGCAGCCCAAGGTCTGTTCTTAGAAGGCCAGACATGCTGCCACCCTCCAGCCCTTTCACCATCCTTGACACCAACCTCCTGCAGCACCTACCACTTCTCTGGTGGGTTTGATAATTCCCTGCAGTGGCCACACAGAACTCACAGAT